TGAGTTTAAGAACCTCTCCCACTTTTGCAAATGCGACCTGTTCAAAACAGCCAGAGCACTATTTTTCCTAACCTCCATTCATTAAGCTGGTTTAGACAGCTCCAGGGGATATCATAGATGCCTTTGAAAGAATAAATTCCAGTCTTAAGGGGAGGATTGTGCAGACTCGAGATAGAGAAACACATTTTTGGGAACTAGAGCTACATTGCGTAATCTTGCTATCAAGTATTCTTTCAGGTAAGTCTGCAACATCATCTGGCTGGGAAAAAAGAAGTCTGAAAGTGAGATATATTGGCATTGTTATGATCACAACATAACTATAAGAAAACTACTTTAAGACTGCCCATAGTCAAAACATAAAATGCATGACTAAGCCTGGAAATCTTACAAAATGCAATCAATGAAAGACTGAAAGCCACACATTTCCTGAGGCCATATAAAAATATTACGAATGAGACAAAGAGTACTAGAAACTATAAAAATGGGGTGTAAAAAGATATTTGATACTGCTTTGTTTGCAACCATGCACCCTTTTAAGATTCTTTTCTATGACATAAACAAATGTTACCACACTCCAGGGCTTCAGTTTAAAACAAAGAAATAAAAACTGCAAACTGCACAATATTTATTACGTTGCCTTAGATCTACAAGGTATATCAGAAAGCTACAAATTCCACGAGGAAATTTTAGTTTAAGTTAACATGGAGAGCTGAAAAGAACAGTAAGCATGATGTATACTGAAATGAAACCTCACTAGTATTTGTTGCAGTAAAACAACGTGTATTGAAAGAGACCTCCCTGTTGTTTTTTACTTCTTTCCCTGCAAAAATAATGAAGGTTATCTTCTGTGTACTTATGGAATTATAGAGAATTGGTCTGGCTGGTGTTTTAGAATATTTAATCCCTTTACATCAGCAAAGGGATTCATTCGCAAAGAAAGCGGGCAGCAGAGTGAGTGCTGTAATCTTTTTCTTTAAAAACACAGTTGGCACAGAAATTGTCCATTTTACTCAGGAGGATGCAATTACACTTCAGCTTTCATGTAAAGCTGCTTCGTGAAATTGAAAAGCCTGCCCATGAACAGAAACAGAACAACAGGGAAAAAACAAAGGCTGTAGCTGGGTATGGATCATTTCTCCTTCTCCACATGGTTTGAGGGAAAAATAGCTCGGTGCACTGGGTGAAGACAAACTGCAGTAAGCAAGCTCGTATCAGCCCTGCTGCCCTAATGGTAACAAGGAGTCTAGAATTGAAGAGCTCAGACTCCTGGGGAAAGCAGATAATCCAAGACCTCACTCTTTAAGTAAAGGCTTATGAGCTACGCAAGAGAAAAAAACAACCAATAAAACCAAAACCAAAACAAACAAAAAAACCCAAACCACCAAAAGAACCAGAATAATGGGAAGTCATCTTATGTCTCAAGGGAGGAGGAAGAATCTTGCTGGTCAACCCAAATCCAGCTGCTGGGACTAAAAAGCCCCGCTCACTTCTGGCTCTGACAAAGCCTTTGAGACACTGCAATACAAATTGCCAGGAATGCTTTAACTGATCATGTTTCTGTAAGGAAATGCCAGTGTGTTTGTTTGGTTTAGGAATATTAATAAGAAAAATAAACTTTTTGACAGACTGGAAAAAAAAAGAATTTTAAAGGTAGGTCTTCCTCTGTCCCACTCAGCTGGATACAGAAAAATTAGCTCTAAGAAACTCACTTAGAAGGAGGTATCAGGCATTTGGTTCAGGGTGCTCTCTTTCCAAGATGTGTTCCAACTACTGAAGTCCTTGGCTACTTGAAGACAGTCCCGCTTTTATTAGCAAAAGCAAAAAAACCCAAAACACTCTAAAAAAAAAAGGCATGTTTTCTGCCCAGCTAGAACAGGAGCTATCATGAAATACTTTCCAATTTCAAAAAATTGGAAAGACATTTCTCATTCAGCTCTTGTTGTACCATAATGAACAAAAGGGAAGTTTGAATTCAGATACAAACTATAAATATAACTTTCAGGTCAGAAACTCTCAGCTTTAGAAATTACACTGTGATTATGTAAGGCTACAATAAGTTAATTAAAATCTATTAATCAAGGTTAGCTCCAATGTTAGAAGCAGCAAATTGGGTCAGAAGAGACTGTTTCTACATTCACACAAATAGAGCTTATGTTGTAAGACATAAGTGAATTAAAGTCTTGATCAGTTAATTATCAAGGTCTTTACCGTAAAGCTTTAGATACTTTGATCAAATGTTAGAAAACTCCTGTGACAGACAGATGAGCCCTTGGAAAAAACAAGGTGCTCACATTTTATAAGAATTTCTCCTTGTTTTATGAGTATCAAGTTGTTGGACAGAATAAAAAGTTCAAAGACCTTTTTGATGAATATCTTAAAACTGTCTAGTTGCTATCAATAATAAGATTAAATTCCTGTACCCTTGATATTTGGCATGTCTGCTAAGAAAGAGCAAAGTTATTACCAATGACCTCTTTGTCATGTAACACAGAGAAATTTAAGGCAGTATTGACAGTTCAGTGGGAGAACTACCAATAAAATAATCATATCACACATTCCTTAGTTTGCTCACATTTGTACTTTGATTAAATATACATTGGAAAGGAGACATACCTGTCTGGTTTAATAACTTAATGTGTTTTAAGTCCACTGTGTGATTCAGAAGAAGGAACTGTAAAGGTTTCATCTCCTAATCCTTTGGTTCTATGCAACAGTGTAGAACTGAAGCGAATCCACAATTTACAAGGAGAGACTAAGTTCTAGAGGACAAGATGAGATCCATCTCGAACTAAAATCCCCAGGCCCCACACAGACAAACAAAGCTCAGAACCAACTGCTGCCATCTACTGAAATGTTCCTATTGCACCAAATACAGGCACCCACTACAGATCAGTTTGCTTTGACCCAGCTTTGAGTAAAGGCTGTTATACACTGTAAAGAATTCTTTAATTCTTAATTCTTAATTGTGTCTTCACAATTAATTTGCTGGGAGTTGCACTGCATGTTAAATGCAGTTTTCAAAGCAATTTAGACAAGGCTTTATATTTTGTCCAAACTTAATCCGTATTCAACAGCAGCTGCAAAGGTATGCTTATTTACTCAAGCAGGAATATTTTAAATCAAAATAAATTTTTGTTACACTAAAACACTTCTAAGACATCAATGTAAAATTCTTTTGAATGATTTTCATTCAAGACAAATTCTTTCCTTATCTGGCTAGATAGCCTCCTATTGCATAGCAAACTGCAATTACTTTACTGTATACTGTGTTGTTTATATTTTGCCTTGTATTCCTATGTAATCATACTCGTTTTCTATTTAAAGAAGCCAGAAAACCTAAAAAAAATTTTCCACAGTCATAAGATCATTTTCTTTCTTTAGAAAAGCTTATGAAATATTCTATTCTTTTAGTATTTTCTTGAAGGTCACGCTTACAAAGAATTGTTTTCTAAGAGTTGTTTTGTTTCCCTTTTCTGGAGGCTCTTCAGCTTGTCGATATCTGAAATTGCAGTATCCAAACCTTGCACTAGATGAAGCCTCAGCAATTTTAAATCATAATGACTACATCCTTTGTCTTCCATGCAATATTCCCAACCATATTCCCAACTGCAGAAAACCACGTTTGTCCTTTTTTTGCAACAGTTTCACATTGTCAGCTTGCTTTATGTGTTTTGCCCTATGACCATAAATTTGTGTTCTGAGACCTGCTCTTGTCAGTTATTCCATCCAGCACACATACAGGGTGGATAACGCATTTCTCACCTTCTGCTTCTCTGTATGGGGGAAAGGGGCCATCAGCTTTCACACATAATCCATGGAGACAGGCACACACCTCAGCAAAATTCAAAATAGCCCGGTTACTGACCATGGAGCTTGCTGGATCAACCCACTCCAAGCACCACTGCAGAGGCGGCCCAAGGGAATGCTGGGACCAGCATCACACTTTATATTTTCCCTGTTTCCTTCAGACTGAGAGGTGGATCCCATCATCCACCTGGAACAGTGTTTAGAATCCTCTGCCAAAGACAGGCACTCTTCCAGAAGGGTTAAAATCAAAAGGCATAATAGACAAAACGACAGGATCTCAGTATAACAGCATCGCTTAAATCACATTCCAGTAAGGGGAGGCCAGGAGTCAGTTCATCACAGAAAATGTTTTTTGCCCACAGGTTCTGGCTCACAGAACAACTTAACAGCTCACTTACAGATGGCCTGTGCCCTCTGCCTTGCTAAAGCAACCTTAACTCTCCTGGCTGAAAAGATATTACTCTGTTGAAAAGAACTGAAAAGTCACAGTGCCTGAAAAGTCACATGGCTCTCAAAGTTAACAGTAGCTGACACAGGCTGGGAACATCTCTGTGACAGCGTCAATATTTAACCACAAAAGCATGGAACATGAATCCCAATTTCCTACACAGGCGTTTACTGTGGATTTTATTTCTTGGAGGAATTAATAACAAGAGAAAACCCTTCTCACACAGCAAACTAGGTGCTTACCTAGTTTCTCAGCAAACAACCCATATGTTTTACAGACATTAATCATTTGTGAGAACTTATTTTTAACATAAATTCTGGTGTTATACGAAAGTTGAACTGCTACCAATTGTCAGTTTTCCCTAGATTTAGGCAACAATGTATTTTGGGAGTATGACTCAGGAAAGCATTCACATGACCAAGTAAAGCAGGTGGCCAGGACCTACCACATAGCATCAACTTCATCAGATCATCCTCAGAGAAGGAAAAATAGCTCTTAGCTGTTTGGGGAGATGATCAGAGGGTGGAAGAAAAACTGTTCTGAAGCATAGGTCATAATTCTTACAACCAATAAAGCAAACTACAGAGTCTTCTGCCTCAGCATCACAAAGTAATACATTTTAAAAAAGCACTACTCTTCTGATGAAAGTTTTTATTGTGTTGACGGTTAAATCTGGAAAAACTTATTTACACATGGGGCCTCAGTCCTAAGTTTAAATTATGCCTGTGCCAAAGAAACAGCTTACCTAGTTTTCCCTCAAATGTATGTCACCAGCAGCACAGCTCATTTATTCACCCAGTGTTTCAACTGCAAGAGAAGAAAGAAGTTGTTTGTTAGGAAGGGAGATGCCCAAGATACCACCAAGATCCTTCTGTCTTATGCAGATTTAAGCCCAGCACTGGGTTCTGTGGTTGCAGAGGAGCAGAAGGCCAGCAGCCACTGCACTGAGGTACCTCAAGTTACACTGCAGCTAAAGCACCATGTTCAGCTGTGATTCCTTCAATTCCTTCTTCCAGGGAATAAGAGGAGTTTGAACAATGCTATTTCTGTCATTTTTTTGCTTAGTAACAAGGCTGAGCCCAAGTCAGCTTTTATAAAATCTACGGAGTTTTTCAGGATAAGTTTTGGGGTTTTTTTAAGGTTAAGTAGTTTTCATCATTAGCCAGAAATTTGAGAAAAGGATCCTACCATGTTTACTCAAACCAACACTCCAGGAGCGTTACCACAGGCAGTCCTGATTCAGACTGATACTTGGGAAGCATCTAACTGTAGGGACATGGGTTGTGCCCTGTAATTATAGCCAGAAGTATTCTGGTACTTGAAACAATGTAAAAGTGTGTGCTTCAACTCTTGATTTGAATTCATGCTTGTGAGAAAACAGATTGCACACCCGACCATTTCTACATTTCCTACTTCAAGAATGCCTAGCAGAAAGCACATTCTTGATGCAATTAATTGACTATTTTTAACCAATACTGCCTTCTGGATTGACTCTAGCTTATTTGATTATATGTTAATCAGAACTAAAGATAGCTCTAAAAGGAATAAAAATTTTCACCAAGCCACAAGGGGACTTGTGGATCTATTTTACTTGCAAACATTCCATCTGATCTGTCACCTAATTAAAAATGTGTTCTCGATCTAACTACCTTTCAAAGAAGGCCATGAACACAGAATATCTGTTATTTGCAAAGCATTAATCGACCAGAAATCAAAAAAGAGTTTTCCCTTGGGTGTTGGGGTTTGGTTTTTGTTTTAACTTATTTAGGCAAAGTTTCTGTTATCTTTTAAGGTTCAAGGATAAGGGACTACATCCTCCTTACTGAAAGCTGCTTTCTTAGCATTCTCTTACAAATCCATCATAAAACCACAAAACATTTTATCCCTTCTTTTGGTTAGGAAATGTTAACATGTAGCTGTAAGCAGCTGAGTGGAAATACATTAGCAAAAGCTTTCCTGCAGTCCACATTATGACTGAGCTCTTACATATTTACTCATACAAACTGTACCACTTGGTGAGATTGTCAATAAGAGTTAATTATATAAAGGTTCTACTAGACAGTATGATAATTTTCAGACTAATTTTTGTAGCAGATGATTTTGCTTTTTGAACTGGGAAAAAAAATGCTTAGAGGTAACAGCATTTACTTTATTCAGTGGCTTTAAGGTTTGCTAAGCGTGATTCAGATTTTATAGAGAGTCTTGAACATCAGCTAGACTCTTATAATTGTTTGGGGTTTTTTTTTTTGGACAAGCTACTTCCAGTCACATCACATCATCATTCCACCTTGCAGAAAATGGGCTCTATTGTTTATGCATTTACAAACACTCAAATTGTACAAAGTTGGGGGGTTTTACTTATTGACTGCAGAAGGATAAAATACAGGACCAGCTCGTGTTATTGCCTGACTACCACTAGCATGTTAACATACATAACAAACTTCATGGGTATATTTGGAATGAGCTAAGACACCCCAGTTTCAGGAGATTCTTTTCCAATATCAAGCTTTCATCTTCCTTAAGAACTTGGATATTTCAGCACATGAAGGGAGGATGGTAGGAACAGTGCCTCAGAAAAGAACAGTGCAATGGCTGTCCAGGTTAATGTAGGAACACTCACATTCTTCTTTTAAACAACAGTCTACCAAGCAATGTAAAGGTCAATGCTTTTGCTCTTTATCTGTGAAAAACTCCAGCTATTAGAGAGAAGACAGTGTTGTGTCTCCAATGTAGTTACAGTTACAGTGCAGTTTAGGGAACACACTTTGACAGTAAAAGAAAAGCATTACAGGTGATGATTTGACTATTGGACCATCCTTTACTTGCAAGATAAAACTGAAGATTTCCTTTGATTATGTCTGGGATATCAATTTCACTCTTTCACATCGTGTCTTCACGTGTATTTTTAAGATTAAAACTTCAGTAATAAAAACAGCATCAACTGACAGGCTAACATTAAGGGAAAGTGTCATAAATAATACCCCATTGAGCACGACAAAAACCACCACACCTTGGAAATCAGAAAAGATGGCTTTGTACTCAGCATGCTGACTCCATCACATTTCATTAGACACCCTTCAACATTCAGGTCCAGGGTTAAATTCTGATTTATAGTTGAATAGGTATATGCAGAACTTCAGCTAGAAGGAGCTCAGTGTAACATGCTCACTAAGTCTCCCCTTGGTAGCAGGAAGGTTCTTCATGTGTTTATTTGCAAGACCAGAGAGCTGGTGTTCAGGGATGGAAAGCCAGACAAAATTGCAGCATCCAAAGGGGAGATAAAAACCACCAGCTGCAAAGACAGAACTTTAAATCCACGTGAGCAGTCAATAACAAAAACCACAAACCACAGGCTTGGGAATTCAACAATTCTCCCCAAGCTCAATTCACTCTCAAGACTGAATTATTCAGTAAACTTTTTTCCCGGTAGAGTTTGCAAAAGCTGTCAAGGAAGAGACTGTCAAATTGGAATTAAAGTCAAATCAGAAGAGCTGTGTTTTCCTCTCTCTTTCTCAAGTTCTAAGGAAGCTTTCTTAAGAAGAATGAAAATAGCATATGACAAGCTACAGCACCCAGAGTACTCTCTCTTAACAATGTGAATGGTACGAAGACCAAGAAAAAAATGTTTATCTGCTATAAAGAGGTCATGAAAGTGAAAGAGCTCAGATTCATGTTACACGTTTCCAGTCTTCTGGGCAGTATCTTCTACTCTGAACTTGCATCTCTTTCTCTTCTATAGGCAGTAAAGATTTGTCCAATAGCGATATGGGGAAAAAAAAACCAACCGAAAAAAACCCAACCAAAAAATCCCACTGATGAGCTACAGCAGACTCCTGTAGCTGTCTTGCTTTTTCTCATAACCTTCAATTAGATAACTCATTCATTATCTACACCCCTTCAACTGACTCTGTAAGATGTAGCTGAGTCCCGGTTGTATCAGGACATTGCCTGTCAGATGTATATTCCTAATCCTCTAGTACAGCTTCTAGTGACACTTGATGGTATCTAAGAGATTTGACACACTTCTTCTCTGCCTAATGCAGGATAGACACTTTGCTCTTCCTTCAGGACGTGCTGTGAGAAAGCAACCTATCTACCATCATTCAGGAAACTCCAAAATGACATTTCATCCATTTTGACATGGAAGCAGCTTTACAAGCCTCCCTCAGAGGAAAGAACAAAGCTTTGTACTGTTCTAGCATTTAGCACTGGTTTTATGCATTATGCTTTAAAAATCTGAACAGATGTCAATAATTGACATGTGATTTAAAATAAAAAAGTCCTTTTATAAATACCATAATGAAAATACACTGCCATCCCTTCTTTCATCACAGTATTTAACAGTGATCTCAAAATCTTCAAATGATGACATATTATTGGCTGTATCCAAGAACAGCTATTTTTGTATATTAACATTCTCAAAATGAGGATACCACCCTCCCTTTAGTTAACACTAACTTGTTTCCATCTGACCTCTTGAAATCAGTGATGAGTAAAATGCCCAGATGAGGGCATACCTATTTTCTAACTATCCTCCCATTAAAAGCAGTGCTAAAATCTTCTGTGAAGAACAACTAACTCATCCCAAGAATGAAGCTGCTCAGAAAAGCATCATCTCACAAAAACTCAGTAGTAGTTACCCACATTTCTATTTCTTTTATGTTCACCTAAGCACTTTCTATTTTTAGGCAGCATAAAAACATACATCCATTAAGAACAGAAGAGGAAGACCAAGAGTGAGGCAGAAAGTCTGGCACAGCCAATTAACAGAAAGATTTGATAGATGTATCAGTCTCTGAACCTACAGCAGCATCTCCCTTCTCCAGCCTGGACTTCAGGTGACTGCCTGTGGTTCAAGGGCAACCTTTAACCACAGCAATGTTTTCCTTATTCTCTGTCTTTTTGTCCTACTCATTAATTACACATTCACACACCTTGACTTTTGGGGAAAAAAATAATCTTGTTTGTCATGTTTCACTAGTAACTTAGTAGCTCTATGTGTTTTCTTGATTTCCTGAAATATACGTGGCCTCATTTCTCCCTTTTGTTAAAGTACATTGTGAGCTTATACCCACCTCTTTGTGGGCAAATGTAATTCAAGCAATTATAAATACAAATGCTTGATAAGTTCTGGTTGGAACATAGCCATAATAAATATTCTGATACAAGTTGCCTCACTTTCTTCTAGAAATGCATTCATTTCATGAACGCCTCATCTTTGAAGATGAATTCATTGCCAGCAATCCTTGTGCTACTGCCAGAACACTGGGGAAAAGCTTTATTTCAAGAAAAGAAAGAAGAACATGTCAATTGATAAAGACAGAGCTTTTGTAGGTCAAAGAGTTAAACTTATTCTGACTCTGTGTGTAGCAGGCTTGGGGATTTTTTTCCTGAGTACACTGTATTGTGTGAGGGTAGGTCTGAGCTAAACAGAAAAAAATGGAGTTATAGTCAGTACAAGTTGTAACTCTCAAGATAAGGTTAATAAGAGCATCCTGCTGCATCTCCAATGCCCTTCTGGGTGCACAGTTAATTAGTACAGCATTCACTAGGGATCTCAAACATAACACAGTCCCCTGAATTAGGAAAATCTGTAGCTGACAAAAAGAGTAAACCCAACCCAACTAGGGGTGCCTGCAAGAAGAAAAACATGCAATCAATGATAATAAAATGGCAGATACAGTCTGGTTTTCACAAACAACCTCAGGAAGGAAATGTTGCACTTGCTTTGAGACACAGCTGATTACATTTACTGCTGCCATCTCCAGAGACATGGCCATTTGCTCACACAGCGCACTCAGAGCTCA